GTCCTGTCCAGCCTGTCAATTGTTGGAACTGTCAACTGTCATTTTTGAATTTTGTTAAAATCGGTGACAATCAGAATTATTCAAACGAATTCTGTTTGTATCAGAATTCTTCATTGAAAATGCTTGCGAAATGTAGACGAAAGGGAAATCGAAGAGAATGTCTTAGGTACCTGCATATATCCAAGAACTCTATGTGAAAATGAAGCTTCCATCTTTGTGGACAATTTAGTCTATGCTATATAAGCATGACAATGAACGTGAAACACAATATTTATTTGAAGAAAAATTATTCATGTAGTCCTGAGAAATCGAAAACTTTCCCCATCGAATCGAAGAGTTTCAATCTCCTACGTCAGATGAGAACTTATGGACGAATGTCATTAAGCAAGCCATTTCAATAGAAATTGATACTTTCTAATAGACTTGTCTTTGTCTCGTTGGTTGCATGCAGTTGCATAGTATTATATATTTTGTTCTCAATTCCCAGTTGCTTCGAATTATTTTGTAGGCTAGCCGGTGGGTTAATCTAATTTTCGGAAGTATGGGATCTTGTCGAAAAGAACAATTATGAGTTCATAGAAAGAGTATAGTATGTACTCTTCCAGACACACGTTCATTGAACACTCGCTCCGTTCTGCTGCGCTCGTGCTTAAAATACTCGTTACTAAAAGGACCTTTATAACACGTTACATAATATACTATTGTTATTTTGAATACAGGTGCAAATATGGTTCATAGGTGTATCGAATATCATTACTATCACATGCAGTAGCAAAATTATGTGTATAGTATTAGATTCTAAATAGAGGCATCTTAGATAGACACACTTTCAACACTTGCTTGGACATATTTATTCACTCAGGATAGCTATCACAAAAAAAGAAACATATATGAAATTCAACGAACGACCTTCTCTTTCTGAAGCCGATGGATGAGTGCCCGTTTCGATCGCATGGCATGATGATTACGGAATCCGATGAATCGCCACCTTGTGATAACGCATTCCTATGCGTTCCATTCTCATTTACGGGATGATTGGAACTTCGTCGCTAACAATAGCTTTTTTTTTTCAGTGTTCAACTGTTCAACGAGGTTACCTTTTTCAAATACAGGTGCAAATCTGGTAAGTATATCGTATATCATTACTATTGAATCAAACACTGATGGCAGTAGCAAAATTATATGTATAGTTTTTTTTTCAGTGTTCAACTGTTTACCGAGGGTTGGAAATCTATTTCGGATGGCGCAAGCTGTGTTTCGTCTGAACACGTGTTAGTTGCGGTGGAATATTGGCGCGTGTCGACACTGTATACGTTTATAGTATGTCGCCAAATCACCGGTTTGTTGCAGCACTTGCAGCACAGTTTGTTGTAGGCTGTGCTGCCGCTCGCAATTTCTGCTGCGTACTGAAATTCTCATAGAAAAGGTACTGAAACGTATGACAACAAATAAAAAACATGGAGAAGACCGAAAAAGCTAAGAAGACTTCAAGGGTGAACTAATTCCTGCATAGAATAATATAAAAGGAAAAGTCATGACGTTCAAACTGAGGGAAAACATTTCCAAATTTCAATCTATGCCAGAGGAGGAGTTAGGAATGTTTTCTCCCAGTTTTGAAGTCATTGCCACGTCAGATAATGACCTTGCGATCCGCGAATAACTTTTTTCTTGTAACACAGTAGTCCAAGTTGAGATGTTTATAAAAATATGGTTGCCTGAGAACCTTGACCTTGAGAACCGCGAATAAACATTTTCTTCTAACACAGTAGTCCAAGTTGAGATATGGTTATCTCTCGGGTTATCTTGGTCAAAAACTGACGCACCTATGAGGTTCTTGTTCATAGATAATCCGTAAGAGGCGCTGATATCGTCATATTTCTAATGGCTATCGGACCCGGTAACAACAATCAAGACAAAAAAAATAGAGAAATGGTGTAAGTACGTTCATGTTTGATGAAATTCTGATAATTGAGTTCCTATTTTCATTTTAAAGAAAATTCGTACAGCGATATCTATTAGAATAAGATGCAACAAGAACCTTATGTTGTCTATTGTCGTCTAGTTTGGGCAGAACAAAAGAGCATCAGTGCAAACCACAGATCTCTTTTCCGACCTATCCAATAGGTACTATTTTGTGTCACACAAAGTTTCCACCACAGATCAAGCTAACATGAAGTGACAATAATGAAAAGATATGAGAGATATATTTTGCAAAGGTATAAAAAATCAGACTCCATACACATTCTCTTACGGAAGCGGATGTTCATTAAAAACATGTGGCACCTTTGAAATTAACTCTTTCAGGGTGGTGCTGCACTGCATAGATTTGGTGCCGAATTAAAAGGAAGTCGAAGAACGATGAACTCTAAGATATATCTACGACAGGCTACAGGTATCTGTACTCTTATAATTTGGAGAAGAAAAAACAACTCATATAAGACAGACATTATGAATTTCTTTCTTTCTCATGTCTGATGATTGGATGATTTTGGCACTATATTTGATGGAATTTTTCGCAAAGATTTGATTAGAAAGGTGCATCCTATTTTATCCCTGTCAAAATGACTGATATCTTCGTCAAATGACTTTTTAATTCTGTGGAGGGGTTGATTTATCAAAAGTATAGTTATTGGTTTTACTATGCAGATTCATAGCCTAGGCGTGGCCGACGCTAGGAAACCAGCCAAGGCATTTCTTCTTCTTTTCTGCCATGTGAAACATATAATTTTTTCTCCAAATTCTTTTCAATTTTACGCGAAGTCCAATTTTTGTTTACCCAAAGTCATTGTCAATTTATTTTTGATTACCAATTTGATTCAAATTACTTGGAACGTTGTATAGCAACAATCTTTTTCTGCCTAGGCAGTGAAAGTACACCTTTTCTGCTATTTGGAGAAGAAATATTTATATACATCGCTGGATTTAGTTGAAAACAGCTGAACTCAACGAAACAAACCAAATATATCATTTAAATGAGATTAAAAAAATATGATCCATGATTGATATAAAAAAACACACTTTTCTAGTGTTTTCAAATCCGAGTTCATCAATTAAGTCATAATTATTTTTTGTTTGTTTTGTTTTCAAATTAAGTTTTTTCACGTTTCAACTCTGGTTTGCTCTGTTTTGTTCTTTAATCGGAAGAATGTAATGTGATTATTGCGGAAGTTTCAGAATTTCAAACCTATCGTAATCATTTTGCTGTTCAATTGATATAAATAGAAAATGGTATTCGCACTCCTGAAATGTGAAGATGAAATTCAAGATCAATAAGGAGAAACCCTGTGACTCACACATTTTTCTGACAATTTCTGTCAACGAGAAAAATCGCATTACACACACATATATCATTGTTCTTTTCAATCATTTCTTCAACATGGTGTCACTGGGTATCGATAACATTTTTCTGTTAGGTTCCTGATAGTGAAATTTTAAATGCAGTGACATTCTGGGTCGAATCATCTGGTTGGTCCTTGCCTCATTACAGGTAGAGGAAAATCCCGAAACTCTAGTAAAATGAATGTTCCGGTGAACTCTGTATACCTAAAACGAAATTCCGTTTTTTTCCACGCCTCTTTGTGTACATCAACGGGATATGTTTTTTCTCAGCACCTGCTACACAAAAGCGCTATTTCCTGGATTTCCGAATGACTCTCGTTTTTTTTTTAATAGCATCTGACCCGAAAACGTTGTTTATGTTTACATTTCACGAATCTGTGTAGGAACATGGTGGATGCTTGGCTCTCGTAGAACAATAAACAAAGCTGGTCGCGCGCTTCCTTTTCACAGAAATCGACTCTACAGGGTGACCACTAAAGCAAGGTACCTAACCAAAATACTTTTTGGATCTACGGAAATTACTGTCACTCATGAATGAAGTCAGTCGATCAAACAATCATAACTTTGAACAATACATTGTTGTTCGTTATCTACAGGGTAACTCACGGTCGATGGTAGGTTGGAGAACGCGACGCAGGATTTTACTGAAAATTTCGCATCTCACATGTTATCACCTGTTCTATCGATCTAAAATATTATCGAAATTGCGACGTTGGCGTTTCTATCAAGAAGTCCAATAGCAACTTCATTTTTTTAAATGGAACACCCCGTATATCAATAAATTTTTAGAATTGCCTTTTCATTACAATACTCTTTCATTGATGAATTCCTATAGGTTTTCGAGATAAAAAATAATGTGTGTTAAATATGTTCTAAAACATATCCCTAATTGAACTTAAGTAAATCAGGGCTCTCAATTCACTAAGAGTTGATATTTCAGTGATGGTTTGGACAGGCTTGATGTATTCAATTTACACCGAGAAATCGCCTCCATATCATACAGGGCGTGCTGAAATTATTATTATATCCGTTGTTCATACAAGTGGTCAAAAGTTAGTTTTTTTAAGGAAACCACTGTTTTTTACTAGATTGAAGAACGAAGAAAAATGCTACAAGATGACGAAGCATGTCCATATACCTAAATCATCAAGTTTTTTTAGTAAAGCCGCTTCTTGTGAAAAATTAATTTTATGAAGAAGTTGATTTTTGATAGCCATGGAAATATCAAATTCATGACAGTTTGGTGACATTCTTATATGAAGTTCTCATGAAGTTATTTATTATACATGGAAAATGTGATCAAATCATTGCCAGAACTTGCAGAAAATGCAACCAAATGTATCCTGAATCGACACTAATTAACGAGAGGAAGTTTGTAAGATTATACAAAATAATGTTATCAAATATGACCGTGAGTTACCCTGTATAGATAACGAACAAGATCGAACAAGTTGTGTGACTATAGTCAGTAGAGTTTCGGCTCTCAGGATATCTTCAGACATGAATGAAAACTGCCCACACAGAGTTTTATGATGATGAGTAGTTTTACGTCCCTGAATATAAATACAGGGTGCTGTACTACACCTAATACCTACAGAAAAGTGAGACGTCACCGATATCATTGTGAAAGTCTCAAAAGTATTAAATGGACGTCGATAGTAGTAAAATGCTTTTATTATTCAAAACCCGAGGTTACACAACCAATAACAAACCCTGGTTAGTCCTCCAAAATATCCAGATACCTCCACAACTTCTCAGGCACAGGCAAAGTCCTTATACCGTTTGGCAACTGCTGATTTTGCCATAATCTACCCCTAATAGAACACCTACAAAGATGCTTCAACTCGGGTGGAGCAAGACCAAACCTGAAAGCTGGAATCAGACCGTCTTCCACCAAGTCAGAATATCTTTCCGAAAATCTGCTACATAGGCTCTTGTAATCGTCATCATCCAATTCCTTGGGCTTTTCAATTCGTATGCTAGGGATTACTCTCAGCAGGATTTGGAGGCAAGAAACTAAGTTGTAAGGATAGGTATGTTTGAATTCCAGCAGGCGATCCAATATGTATTCTATCACTGTAATTTCCTCTTCGTTAGAAAAAACTTTCGCTCCAAATCGGAGGAAAATGAGCAGTTTGTCTGGTAATCCCAGTTGAACAGACACCTGAAAAAGTTGATGATAGAATCGATCATGAATAACGAGGAAATACAATGAATTACTTTTACTGGGGATGACCTTCCACAGCTTTCTAGAGGCAGATCTATGAACCTGAAAGTTGTGTTGCTGTTATCGTTTGGAAACTTTAGTTCCAAACCAGCGGTATTGGCTTTATCCAAGAAGTAAACGACTGCTCTCAAGTTCTCTTCTTGGCTGTCGAAATCACTCTTCCAGCCTGCTATGAAATGTGGTGCTTTATTACCGAAAATGGCGCCTACTAGTATACGTTCGAATGTTTTTTCGCAAATGAAGATTTGTTCAAGAACAGCTGACACCTAAAAACAAAAACCACTCAGCCTTGTTCAATCTATGAGACTGTTTGCATTCAGTGATCTTTAGCGATGATTATGGATGAATAATACTTTCGGAAAAACTGAAGATATTGGTATACAGTGGTTCGGTTCCACTAGAAGATGATCTTTCTAACCCCGCACAAGTATCATTACTATACCCTTGGGAAACATGCTCCGATTTTTCAGGCTGAAGTATTTGCAATACTTGCATGTGTTCGAGAGAATATCGAGAGGGGCTATCACAGCCAGCAAATCACTATATGCACTGACAGCCAGGCGGCGATCAAGGCGCTCACCTCGTATAGGGTGACATCCGCCTTGGTGTCAGAGTGCATAGATTGCCTACAAAGGCTGTCAGCAACGATCAAAGTATGTCTTTTGTGGGTCCCTGGACACTCAGGGCTACCAGGTAACGAAATGGCCGATGGTCTTGCCAGAAAGGGGGCGAAGGGTTCAGTGATTGGCCCAGAGCCAATCTTAGGGGTCACTCGATCCTGGAGCAACTTCAAGATGAAGGAAATCCTGACGGAAAGGTTTCAGGACAGCTGGAGAAAGGCTCCTCGAATGAGGCAGTCCAAACCCCATATAGGAAACCCGTCACGAAGACAGACCAATGCCCTCTTGGCTTTGAACAGGAAGGAGCTGTAACTAGTGGTGGGCCTTCTGACAGGGCACTGCCACATGAACAAACATCTCAGCATGATCGGGATTGTGAAGGATCCTGAATGCAGATGGTGCCTAGAGGATGAAGAGACTTCAACTCACATCCTCACTGAATGCCCGGCAATAGTGGCAGCAAGGGATATCCATTTTGGGAGCAGTATCCTGGACCCAGAGGATGTTAAAAAGATTTGGCCTAGAAAGTTGGTGTCTTTTGTTAGCGAGATCGGCCTTTTCCATGGCTGACTTGCGACCCAAGGAATGTGGCTGCACAATGGGCCCTAAAAGGGAGGCCTAAGTGCGTCAGGTCCCGGACCGCCCACACACATACATACATACAAGTATCGACTACTGATTGGGAGTTGGTTCCCAATTGCGAAGTAGAGATATACAAATTTGACAAAAAATTTACAGTGTCACCAAGATGAGGTTACACAGCGATGGGGATTCTGGGAAACGGTATAGGAGATGAGAATTCGGTTGAATGGTAACAAATTGCGCAAACCCTTTCAGTTCCAGTGGTTCCACACTGGAACCACAATTCACCATGATTTTTCATGTGACCTAACGAGCACGATGTCTCCTGTTTTACGAAGATCTATATACCATAGAGGTACCACCATTTTTTTTCAAATTTTTTAGGAAAAAGTTAATTGAATAATCAATATGAAAATCAACTTGGTCCCCCCCAAAGGGTTAGGAGAACCATTTTAATGAAATTCGGGAAGTTTCATCATTATCTATAGTTTTTCAGTGTAACTTCAATCGAGTGGATTTCAGAAATAACACCGATTGAATCATCACTTGTTTAGCAATATTATATCAATATTATACCGTGTATAGTGGTGTCAATTCACACCTTCATAGTGAAAAATCACACGGATGTGGTATTTTAGAGGGGTTCTGAAATATCCATTCAAAAGAAACACCAAATGGATGAAAAGTAATTACTTTCGATAGTGGTATAATTCATATGAAATGAACACCTAGGTACACCCTGGCCAACCACGATTAAATCAAAACCGTGTATGAGTCATGAGATTTCGGGCCAATATAATTCACTCATCGTCTTGCACTATCCTATGTGAATTAATAATGTTGCTGATGTTGAAATTATCCCCTGAAAAACCTAAACTCAGCTCAGAGATTTGCTTGGAGCGCACGAATGGAAATCCCTATAATGTTCAAAGAACACATCGTGCGTTCCTAGGGAGGATAGGGACAGGAGGTTTTGTAATGTCTCAACCATGTCTCAACTCTCACTACAATGGATCATTTCATACACCGAATACTAATGTTAGTATATCAGAGTAGTGTTATTCAACACTCAGATGCAGAAAAGAAAGTACCGCTTCTCAGCGTGTAAACACTCAATAAGTGTGTTTTCACAACAGAAAAATATCATATTATCAGTAAAGGCAAACACGCAACAGATACAGTGTCAAAATAATCACCAAATGATTGTAAAGTACACCACTTTGGTGTCGAATTTGCAGTAGGTACTCCAGTGCGTAGTTCTTGACTGTATGTTAGAACGAATGACACCCTTTTATGGTGTTAAAGATATCAGTGTTGATTCTCACTGAAATAATCAGCACCTCAGGGGAAACCCAAGGGTGTTAGTTGGTGTGAATTGGTGTTATTTTCTTTTCACTGTGCATAGAAACTTTTGATAAGATTCTACGTGGCGAAATTGATTTCTGTATACGAGGTTTTGATTCTGAATGCTTTTTTGTTCTGAATACAATCATATAATCAACTAGTTTAAGCCATTATCAATGTTTCTTCGAAAATCCGAAGCAAGAATTTAATGAGTATCACTCATTTTCGATCATTCATTGTCAAATATTGATGGAGTAATTAGTCCATACATAAGATTTACCGTTTCTGTATCTTTCATTTGCCAATCGTAGCACAATTTCATCGCGACATATAGAATGTTGTGGTACTTTCCCATTTTGCAAACTCCACCATTTTCATCTTTCATTTCGTCGTGGTATTGAAGAATAGTCTTAATTGCTGTCCTGCTGGTATCTTCGATATCTGTGTCTGCTGAAATTCATCAGGTTACCTCAACGAAAGGAACAAGTAAATTACTAACCTACAATTCTTCTTTCAATCGTATTGAAATGTTATATTCAAAATGTACATACCTGCTGAGCATCCTGCTATCAATGTGCTTATATAATCAACCATACCTTTTCTTTTTCTTCGATCATGTAAGCTATTCCTGGGCAATGTATTGAAGTAATCAAAATATACTCGAAGAAAACTCTCCATTTTTCTTATAAACCCTAACGATTTTAACTTTGACACTGTCAGTCCATTTTCCTCAATGGGCTTTCGTCAAATTAGATATTGACACTGATAGAACATCATCATCTCAACTCCGTTGTTTTTCTTAATCAGATTACAGCAGGAATTTATTTGGCTTCGAATTACTACCGATGTCATAATCGATATAGCACAGCAAGATATATTCTCAGTAGTTTTCTATTTTTGCCAATATTTTTCAGGAAACAATACTTGTTCAAACCAATTATCGTTATGATACTTTCAAATGGTAATGATATCTATCGCAAAAATAATAGTGGAAGATAGTGTAATTATCAATCGATTCGATGTACAAGGGTAAAACTTTTGCTGCCTGTTTCAATGGCTATAAATTCCCACTATTTTCAAATGGATTTCACATTTCTTCAAATATAGAAAACTATTTCCGTTTCCCCTACCATAGTACGGAAATATCTCCCCTTTGATAAGGGCGGCAGATGAATGAGCAGCATATACTTGCGGGTTCATTGTCACCTTGAGACTACACCTTATATATACGAAGGGCCACGTTACATAAGCCAAAGGGAATGGTGAATGATGTTCGAAAAATAAACTGTTGATTTCCATCTAAGAAGGCACAAACAAAAGAGGTAGGTGAAAGATATTGTGCCTAATTTCCGAAAATGGAGGTTTATCGTATCTGTCCACAGGTAACTAATCCTTCAGGTTGGGAAAGTAAGATATATAAAAGTAAAGCAAGCCAACGTTAGTTTAGTTCATTGTACCAGTATTAGCGAAACATGTTGTGTGTTTAAGAATTTTGTGGAAATCTTATCGTTTGTGAAGTTTTTACATTTGATTATGATTGAGACTGAGACTAAAAATGTTGCATGAATTGACCATTTGAAATGTATGCTCATAACTTGATTATATACAGTGTGTCCACCTTAAGGACTTACCACCCCTGTAAAATCGTTATTATCCGACCAATTTCAACGAACCTTTTTTTGTTGGATAGGTATTTGAAATGCCCATCCAACGAGAGAGTGATCTAATTCTTGGACTGTTATCGTGGCCAACTGCGACAAATTTCAATGACCCATATTCCAGAAAGTACATTTTTTTCCACGAAACTTGATGATGGATTCTGAATCAGTACCACTTGAAATATACCTGTACCGATTTTCATCATCATAAAACACAGGGTGTCCGAAAAAACGGATCATCATTTTCTTCAAATAGGTGATCAGCAAATGTACTGTGGTTTTTCTAGAGAGAAATAATCACAAATTATCATTGAGGATTATTTCAAATATACCTGTACCAATTTTCGTCATTTGAATATACAATGTGTCTGAGAAAAAAATTAAAAAGGATAGGTAAGCAATATTTTTCAGCCTGATAATTCTTTACTCAAAATGAAAATATGAATCAGGATCACTTGGAACATACCTGTACCGATTTTCATCATCATTAAACACAGGGTGTTCGAAAAATCAAATTAATATTTTTTTTGAGTTGATGAAAAAATATTGCCTACTTTTTTTTTCAATCGTTTTCTCATACACATCGTATTTTTGAATGATGAAAATCGGTACAGATATGTTCAAAGTGATCCTAAATAATAATGTGTCATCAATTCTTCTCAAAAATACCATATTACTACATTTTCTGATCACCTATTAAAAAAAAAACATAATTCGTTTTTTCGGACACCCTGTGTTTTATGATGTTGAAAATCAGTAAAGGCGTTTTTCAAGCGATCGTGATTCAGAATCCATCATTGTTTTTTGTGAAAAAAAATCCCTAATAGTACTTTCTTAAATATGGGTCAATAAAGTTGGTCGCAGTTGGCCACGATTACAGTTCATGAGTAAAATCACTCTCTTGTTGGATGGACATTTCAAATATCTATCCAACAAGAAAAAGTTTTTTGAAATCGGTCAGATGATAACAATTTTACAGGGGTGGTAAGTCCTTAAGGTGGACACACTGTATATGATTAAAACAAAAACTGTGACTAAGACTAAGACTAAAACAATGATGCGTAAATAGGCCCTTACATACGATAAGTAGGTAGGTACCATCTTTTCTAATCTATAATTATTCGTATAGCACCAAGTAGGCCATGATGAAAAAATCCGTGATCGACGAAGAAACACATGTTCCTGCACCACCACATGCTATGAAGTGTTAGTGTTGTCTTCTAGCCCAACTGAAACATCAGTTTTTTTGTGTGCCACTTGTCATCTTGCACGTGTGCCATGATTCCCGAAAGATTCCATAATTTTAAAAAATGATCTATCTGTTGTGTGGCGTTTTTTGGTCCCCTACTTGTATTAGTAGGAATTATGTTTTGAATTTTTTGTGCCTGGCTCTCAATGGGGCATCAAGTGGGTGATAATATGTATCTGGTGTGAAAATATAACAGCAGTAAAATGGTATTTTGATGGTGGAATGGAATTTTTTTCTACGGCTATACAGTGTGTCTCACTTATGATGGAAATACCCCTGTATCTTACGTATTCGTTGGGTAGGGATCCTGAAATTTACTGGAGACAGAGATATAGCAAAAATGACCAGGTGGGGTAGTCTTCAGTGATATACACTGCTCGCCAACAGCCATGGAACAACCCCGATTTTCGGAAAATGATATTTGAAGTCGAAATAGGTTGAAATTCACTTCGGATTCGCAATTAGGACACTCCACTGACTAGGTATACCTGAAATGTACTCTATGACCAAGTTTGGTCATCTTCAGTCATATACACTGCTCGCCAACAGCTGTGGAACTACACACATGTCCTTTCGATAAGATCAAGAGATAGGTTAAAAATCACTTCGGATTCGAAAACAGGACGTCCCATATTTTGACGCATCATTATCGGTAACGATTTTCTTCATACTACTACGGGGGTGTTTCCAATAAAAGTGAGACAAAAATGAACTATTCAGAACTGAAATTTTTTAAGGAAAAATATAAATAGTTAGTCAATTGAGCGTCCTGATTCCAAATCCGAAGTGATTTTCAACCTATTTTGACTCCTAATATCAATCTCCAGAATTTGGGGTGATTCCATGGCTATTGGCGAGCAGTTTAATCCACTGAAGATGATCCCACCTGGTCATGAAGTGCATTTTTGCTATATCTCTCGCTCCAGCAAATTTCAGGATCCCTACTCAACGAATACGTAAGATACAAGGGTGTATCCATTAGAAGTGAGACAGACTGTATACAACACAAAATTGCTCTAAATTTATTGTGTACGATACATCAATGAGGTTCTTCGTATGTCATCAATTTAATTACCGTATATCTGATATCACAAAGTCTTCACAAAATTTCATCTCCCATGAAATGTCAGATTTCAAGCAATGACAGCTTTGTCTAATAGATGAGCATGAGCATTGCTTAAGAAAAAAAAACAGATGGCTACAAGTCAAAGAAATAAAAGAATTCGCTGTTATCTGTTACAGTCGTAAAAGAAGTATGGTGTATAACTCGTACAGAATGCTTATTTCCCACACTGCCTTCTCGTGGGATAAGACTTATACTATTCCCAACATTTTTTTGTTGGTTTGGGGATCAATAATTCCTTTAATCAATGATTGATAGTTATAAATGATTGAATTGAAAGTATCAGGGTGAAGCTTTTGAAAAAAGAATAGTCATATCAACTAGTCCATCACTGAAATGAAGTAGTGTTGTTTTGAAAAAAGAACAATAATTTTAGAACCTTGTAAATCAAAAACTTTCCGACAAATATTCATCTAAATAACAGGCAATGAGCGAGGTTTTATAAAAAAATATATAGAGATTTGGATAAATAAAATATTTGAATTCCATTATCTCTGAAAAAGCTGAAGTGGGTGACAAATAATAAGAATTTTCGACATAAAATTTAGTGTGCAGAGCCAAAAAAAATATCGAAACTGTGATCAAAACACCCATGCAAGCATCAAATTTCCTCCGAATTTTATGTTTTTTTATCTCTTGGGGTGTACGAACGGGTATCCCTACAATGTTCGAAGAACATCGTCAACATTAAAATAGATATTCGCTAAAGAAAAACATTTATAAAACCTGTATATTTCGGAAACTATCAACTTTTGGACTGAGATAAATTGGGCTCGATCTTCATATTTCAGCTCAAGAATTCTTTTTTTTTGGTGTGTTAGTGAAACATATCGTGTGTTTGAGAATTTTGTGGAAATCTTATCGTTTGTGAAGTTTTTACATTTTCAAGAATTCTTTGTTAGCGCTTTATTCAAACCGGTGTTTTGAAGAAACGAGCTTCAATATTAGTAACTCAAATTTGGAGAAACTTCAAAACTTGTTGTCTGTATTATGTGATGATTGTAGTGGAACATAATATCATGTTCCGGTCAGTCTTCCATACTTTCAACATGCAAGATGTTCTTTGAATCTATAGTGATGCCATGTCTTCTAGTTTGACCTACATAAGTTCTACCAAAATGTTCTCTAGATTAGCAAATAAACGATGGAAACTTGTGATTTTTATAGACTTCTAATCGCAGATTCGTGATAGAGTCTCAATTCAGAATTTCTTTCCACGCCCTGTACGATGAATGTCAATTCATCATACACCCAAAAGCAAATAATCGTCAATTCAAAAAAAAACACTTCTCTTAGAATTGAATCTTGCTGTTTGACTCCCCTTCTTTCACACCATACGAATTTGCGTGTATACATGGGGCAAACGGTACACATCCAGTTCAAACGTTCAAAAGATCACAAATCATCAGTTTTCGAGCAGAACTATGTCATTATTTAGTAGTAGGTATTTTTCTATGAAACCTTGAGATCGCGATCGGCATTTCCTGAAACACCGACAAAAATAGAGCAGACTTCATAAATATCGCTGGCATCAGGCCCCCTGTTCGGAAAACGTCAAGAGTAATTCCTAAGAGGGTTCGCCTTAAGAGGAGAGATTCAACCAAATCGACATGCAGGCCTGCACTAGTTGTTGCTATTTGGGCTTATAAATGATTCAATTGAAAAACTGATTAAATCATCGTAAAGTAGAAGGTTGGGACTAGGGCCTGGTTATCATACGGAGTCGGAACTCATTTATTTATAGAAGATACAGATTTTTGAAAAACGTAAACATTGAAATTTTTTTGTCTCAAATTGAAATATTTTCGATCTCAGTACAATTGTTGGAAATTCGGCGAGGTGTCACTGAAATATCAGCTCTTGAAATGT